ATATATATATATATATATAAATGGTGGGTCAAGTTTATTTAGGTTGGACTAAGCTTTCATGGATAGTCCATGGAGTGTTTAAACTATGGATCCTATGGAAAGGAAAGGTCATGGGTATTAGGGTTTACATGAATGTAACCCTAATCTTCCACACTATATAAAGAGGTCTATGGTTCATAAAATGGGGGCTAAGCACTAGTGTTTAGTATACAAGAGGGAAAAACCGATTTTGGTGCAAGTATCCTTACTCTCAAGTTATTCCAAGGATTCTGGGTGTTGTGTGAACCATTTGAGGGGCAAAACTTAGGGCATGGGGGTCTTAAATGTTCAAGACTTTAAGCTCCATCAAAAGGTATGTCATTCTACTAGATTAATGTAGTATACTTGGTTCATATTATGCTAGTTAGGATGAAACCTTGGAATATTGAATATTTGCATGTATAATAGAGAAAACATAGATCCAAGGTTTATAGGTTGCATGTACACCAAAGGAGTGTTAGAATGCTCAAAACCCATCAGTGGTATCAGAGCCTAGGGTTGTTTTCAATTATACTTGTTGCAAATTGCTGAAAAAATTGATTTTCTACTGTTCTGGATAGTTAACTTGCCGAGTCCACTGATGGACTCGCCGAGTCCATGCATAAAATATCCAAGTTGTTGAGTTGGTTCATGCACTCGATGAGTTGAACCCCGTGACAGCATATCTTTGAGTCTTAAGGTTGGAATTCGTCTAGAATCATTACCTTAAACTATTTTGGACTTATAAGACTTGTTTTTCATGTGGTAATGATTATGGTAAACAAATTTCAAGGTTGTTATAAAATTTTCAAGTTTTATGTGTGTTTATGTAATTCTTGAAATTGTTGATATGATTGTTCATTGTTCATACACTTATGAGTTTTGGTAGATCATAGGAATTATTTGCAATTTGTTTGTTAGTTAATTCTTGATCTAAATGTTTTTAATGGAGTCTATAATTTGTCCTCACGTTATGGATTACCAAAAGTTATTTCTTTTAAAGTCCATTAAATTGCATATGTTACACAATTGAATAGTCTTTTTTTTTTATGAACTCCATAACTTGTCCTCAAGTTATGGATATTTAAGAGTCTCTTCATTAAAGTTTTTATAACCTTAATTAAAATCATAAGTTATGAAACTCCAAAAGTTTTTGAATATTTCAAAACTTGCCCTCAAATTTTGGAATTTGTAAACTTTCCCCTCATGAATACTTTAATTCCAAGTTAAACCCTTAGAAATTTATAAGTTTAAATTCAACCCTTATAGCTTATAGTATTATAAGTTAATAATATATATATATATATATATATATATATATATGTGTGTGTGTGTGTGTATGTGTGTGTGTATAAGAACAAAGTCAGTCTTATCTTTAGTTGGCCTCATTCACGAAGCCGATCAAGAAGGGGGGGTATAAGGTTACTGCCTATAAAATGGCAGTTTAATGGGTGTCCATTCTCAGCCACCACTTTCGTGATTAGTGGAGGGTCATTAGCCGAATGGGTTTGATAGGACTGTAACCGTCCCTTCATTATAAGTATAATGTAAATATAAAGTAACTAAACCTTTTATAAATTCCCAATCATAGTTTCGTTAGGAAAATGTGAATTTGGTGCTAAACCATGAAATTACACTTTGCACTTTTCTTAAGTCGGCAGTGGAGCGCGTGTGGTTAACCGACACACTAGCTTGGATTTAACAAGGTAGGAAAAGGGTAACAAAATGTTTATCATAGGATCGGTGGAGCGCGTGTGGTTAATCGGCACATCGATTAAGTGATAAATATTAAGGGTAGCAAGTATATTTGCATGGTTATTCACACCTTGTTTTGTGATCCTCGACATTCCAGTCACAAAACTTGAGGGGGCACAATCGAGATTGAAACATGCAATTAAAAAGTTCAATGCATCTCAAAAGATCTAGGAATTTCAAATGCATTTAAAAATTAATAATTTATTTCGTTTTTCATGGTGGAAATTGGTGAATCATCATTCACCTACCTTCAAATATTTTATAGCTTGGATTACGATATCCCTCTTCCAAGTTATAAAATATTGCGTTGGTTCCTAGGCTTAATATTTCATATTGGGTGTTATATTAAGGACTTTGAATCAACTAACTTGAATTTCTCCTATTATAGATGTCTAGCTTAGACAACTATGATCTTCCTAAATCTCTTGGAACATAGTTTCCTAATGAAGATGATGTTCCATGGTTGGATAATGGAAATCATACTTCTCTTCCTCCACATCATCCAATTATTCTCCCTATCCGGCATGTTCTTGAATAGTTCAAGGTCACTCAAGCCTTGTTGGCAAGCAAAGTCTATGTGTGCTCACATGTTGGAGATGAAGTCGCATATTTACAAGCTGGGAGAGTTGGGTGTCAAAGTCTTGTGGAAGTTGGTTGTTGAATAGGTTCTTCAATCACTTTCTATGTCACATAGTGAGTTCTTTAAGGACCACTATGTAACAGACTATGACATGACCCTTAATGATCTTACCTATTTGCTTGATGCTGCTAAATCAACAATGATTTGGAGCAGTTGTAAAGCAAATTTGATTAGAAGATCAACTTCTCAAACTTCCATGGACATTGACAATGGTAACATTAGATATCCAACAAAGCTTTCTATTCCCAATGGAAAGGGATCGACCATAATCAACTCGATTGACTAAATGGTAAAGAGAAAATCTAAGTCTAAGATAATCCCATGTACAATTACCAAAGAGTCCATATGGTTCTATTGCCAAAAGAAGGGGCATTGGTTGCGAAGCTTCCCTGGCTACCTAAAAGATTTGAGAAAAGGAAGAATCAAATAGTTTGACTCTACTTCAGGTAAGTCCACTACCTACTCTGTTAAGTTTCCAATTGATGATTCTTAATACAAAATGAGACTCGGTTACATTTTGATGTTTGGTAGGATCAAGCAAAGGGAAGGAAACTTAAAGAAAGAGTATGTTGAATCTGATCGAGAAGATGGATTTCGATCGCATCGTTTGAAGATCAGATTCTTGAGCTACTACTTAGGAGTTATGATAGATTGCTAGAAAATATGTAATATCATAGTTTTCATTTAAAGTTTCATTGTAATGAAAAAGTTTTTTTTCCACATTTATAAATAAATAAAATTTTGTTTTACTTTATTTTATATCTCCTTGTAATGACATTTAAGGAAAATTGATGTTTGTATGTTTCTAGCAATACTGGAAATTTGAATTTTTATTCTTTCTTTTGTGGTAGTGTCTAAATTTACCAAATAAAGAAAGATTCTCATCACGCAAGTTTTCAATTGGACCGAAACTTGGAATCATGCAAGTTGTATGATGAATGAGAATTTCATATTTGGAAAATTAAGACTAATTCCTTGTTCACATGTATATGTGAGTCAAGTGAAGGACTAAGGGATCGAGTACACATTCTTGTGCACTGGTCAAGCCCACCACAAGAGATCGATAAGACAATTCGTCATGATTTACTAAAGTTTAGTAAATATTGTTTTACTTACAAGTTTAACTTAAATTCTGAAGCATTGGAAAAGTTTTGATGTATGGCAAAACGAATAAGAAGAATCAAATTTGGCAGAAAGATAAAAGTTTCTCAAATCTTAAAAGATGGGAGAGTACTTTAGTATCATGTTTTATGATCATCGTAATGATTGTGATACCATATCACAATTCATCCTTTAAGGACATCTTAGTGCATTCCTATGACTAAGAAGAGGAATCTTAAAGTGTTGAAGTGGTTAAATCAAGAAGATGACTCATACTTCGTTCCTAACTATTCCTAGAGTTATACTCCAAGATTGTAACTTTAGTGACATATTTTAAAGAAGGTTTATAATGCTTGTTAAATGTAAGAATAAAATGTGTTCTAGTCTTGTACATTTGAAACTGGTAAGTTGTGTTGTTTTGGATAAAACAAAAACCAACTAATGCCAATTGTGTGAAGTGTTTCTCTTGATAAGAATCCGCACTATCTCTTGAATATTTGTTTGTCAAGGAATGGGTCTTGGCAAGAGAGTCTTATATGTCAAGAGAACAATCGGAGTCTAAAAGATCCTGAAGGAGTTTTAAGATTTAATCAAGAATAAAACCTGTAGTTTATCACTAGCACACAACTTGAGGTTTATAACCTATCGTGTTGACATATTCCAATTTTTGTGCCCATTCTAGTTAAAGTTGGCTTTGCATATGAGTTCTGAGAGTTCTCAATTGGTTTCATAACAACATAGAAGAAATGGTAGGCCCTTGTGCTGGCAGATGGTAAGAATTTAAGATTACACAACTTCAATGCTTGGCGATCTTGGAAGTATGAGAGGGACTACAGGGTGCAACCGAAAGGTTTCCTTAATAGTTGCTTCTAGGTATTGTAACTTACGGAGATGAGATTCTTCTACAACGTAGTCAAGTCCTACAATTTATGCTAATTCTTGAACCCTTTTCATTATGTAATGATTTTGCATGATCTCTTCCATTGTCGATTCTATAAGCGTTGTCGTTGTTTCTGTTCCTGCAACCATAATGTCCTGATACAACAAAAGTTCAACCAAATTGTAATTTTTGCAGTCTAACATAAACGAAAATCCTGAGGCTATTTCGTATTCATGCAGATGGATCTTTCTCAATTACTGGATAGGTGTGACATAGATATAACTATGCAAAATTATTTGGAAAGTATTAAATCTACCTTTAGAAGTAGTTTTAAAGAATACTAATTACCAAGAGAAGCGCCTTAATCTGGGTGATACTAATCGATGTTGCATCTTTTTGGTCCTCGAGCTCTAATAAGATCTGTAAAACATCTTTCTTTCCTTCATGCCCAATTACATCCTTTGTCTTTATAGAGTTAGATATGATTCGATCATCGATAATGCTTGTGAAAATTCGATCCAACTGATGAAATTGCCTCTTGGTCTTTCTTAAGATGCCTTGTAGATCAAGCCATGCAAGACTAAGGAAGATATCAGAGAGATTCAGCTATCCGAGAATCTCAACGATATTTGAAGAAATCCTTTGCAACTCCGCTTCAAAATGGCTACCTTTTGCGTTTGGATCGGAAGTGTTTTCCCAAACCATGCTTGTGAGGACATTAGCCTCTGTTGAGAAAGCAATCTGGCTAATGTCAATTGCTGTCCCAATCTTACTATAAATATTTTTTTATAGTTTTTCTAACTTTATCCCTTCGAAAAAACCTGCACGCTTCAAGATTCTTGTTGCTTAGAACCTCATGAGCAAATATCTTACGAAGGTTACGCCAATATGAGTTGTTGTCAGACCATGCTACATCTACACCTCCATAGGAGATTGCTAAGGAAGCAATTGATGGATTGCGGTTAGCAAATATGTCATCTTGCTTATGGACCACCACCTTTACTAGGTCAGGTGTATGTATGACGACATCAAGTTTGCTTCCCAAGTGAAACTTGAAAATGGGTCGGTAAATGTGAGCCATGTTACAGAATTGTTTGTGTAAGTCACGAGTAAGAATTGGAAGGTAACCTACAATCGGCAAGGAACGAGGACATGGTGGCAATGATGGTGCACCTGAAGAGTTCGAAGAGTCCCCTCTCCGCAATAAAATAGCGAACATCATTAAAGAAATGGTGGAAACTGCAAGAGTAAGGTGGTGTTTGTTGTGCCACTCCGCCACTGGTTGAGGGCTTAAGGCTTGTGGCTTATAGCATATAACTTATGGCTTAAGGCTAATGGCTTATCACATATTACTCATGGCTTCAGGTTTAATACATATGAATTTGACGCATGACTTGCATACACACACATACATACACATATGTAGTAAATAATAATTATTATCATAATAATTTTGAAAATTATTAATAATAAAGATAACAAAAAATAATAATTATTATAATATTTTTAATTATTAAAAGAATTAGTTTTATCATTCAAAAAGGCTTAGCGACACAGCTTGTTGCCCATTTGCAGTCTCGTTCATTGTATGATGATAATAAAAATATTGTGAGATTTTTATTAAAAAACAAAAAGAATATTATACTATTAGTTATTATTATTAAAATTATAACTATAATAGTAATGTTAATAAATTATTAAAATCAATTAAATAGCAATGACAATATTAATTTTACACAGGAAAAAATATTAAGATTTCAGTTTACTTTAAAGTTCCCTCCATCGTGGTCAAAAAATTTGAGTTCTCCCCCACCCAATTTTGACCTAGCTAGGTTTCCCCCCTTCTAAATTGACACCTGATTAATACTTCCAGGCCTCAAGCCTCCCACCTATCTGCTTCGTCTTCTTTTCTTCATAGTTCGTGAACGATCCAACACATTGTAACTTCGAGATCAACCCCATGACGATCTTCATCAAATCCGACAACGATCCAACGAACTACAGACCCTTCATCGTCGTATTTACCCTCTCCTTCTATATCATGTTTACGACCACGACGTAGAACCACCACGACGCAGCTCCAACGAACCACCACTAAACAACCTCCACCATCTGTGTAGATGCCACTAGTCATCTCTAAAGTCGACATTTCAAACGATCTACGTATCTTGCATCTCTATGATTGGTATGTGTCTGAGACTCTGACTACTTTTGATTCACTTAATTTGTGATTCTCAATCTCTAGATTTGTTAATCATCACCACTTTTTTAACACAGTGCCCAATCCAACACAACTCTTATTATAAACTAACGATGATGATGGTAGTTGAATCGATTTCGAATTAGGAGGCGATCAGTTATAGTTGAGATGAATGTAACAATACATTTTCTGTACTTTTGAATAGGAAACTTTGATTAATAGTAGTGGGCTAGTGGCCTTTCCTTTCATCGAAAACTTGTTTTGCTCCACATTGCTTTAATCACATGTTATTTGTTCTGTTTCAACTATTATTAATAGAAATCATGCTCAAATTGCTGTTAATTTTTTTATAGGATAAAAACTACACTTCGATTTGCACGCGACATGAGATGTAATGAAAAAACTTTTGGTGAACTAATTTAGTATTGACTTATTTGATGCATTTGACAAATTGGATGAGTTGATTGAAGCTTTTATGGTTGATTGCAGAGTAAGTGGTTTATTCTTGTAACATATGGCAGATTCATTTCTGAGAAATATTGATCTAGCATTCTTGGATGTAATCTCTTATATTGAACGCATTTGCACTCATCTCTTGCCTCACTCAGATACTCTTCCTCTCGTCCTTGTTTAATGGTGCTTCGTTTCTTTAATCAATTTTCTTATTATTTTTCCTTGTAGTTGAAATTTTATGTATATTAGAAATGTCATGGATCTCTGATTATAATACGATATTGTTTTACTTATTGATTTACTACATTAGTGACTATATTTGTCTTGCAGATTGACGAATG